ACAACAGAAGTCTCATCTGACCAAATAACGTTCTTCCAATCTTCAAGTGTCCAATCTTTATAGGCAAGACACCACTCAAGTCTTTCCTGTCTCATCTTCGTCGTCAACCCAGGCTTCCTCGTCGGCTTCGTCTTGTTGTAACCGGCTGCTCGAAGGACTCTCCATACGGTGGACGACGAGACGTTGTAGCCGTGAACACTAAGATCACCAGCAATATCAGCGCAGCTCTTCTCTCTCCCATACCTATCGCGGCGTACGTTCTTAAGAGTAGCGTCGTGTATTTCTTCTTGTTTACGAGGGCGGCCTGCGCGCGGGGCATCTTCGAGGTACTGCGGAAGGATCTTAATTAGGCGTGCGTTAGGCTCAAAGCCTCGCTGGCAGGCTCTACCATAAATTGAGTCGATCGTACGCGGCGATATGCCTGTCATTTCTGCGATTTCGCGTGTAGATTTGCCACCAAAAGGTGACTTCAATGCAACAATAAAAGAGCGGGTCGATATATCCGTATTTAGAGCCATGGTAGATCAAAAACACTCAAAAAAATGAGTATACAAGGTATCGCCAGCTTCAAAAGATTGGTGTGGGCGCCAAGAATAGTCGGGCCGATAGGCTGGCGGCTTAGCGTGGCGCTAGCAAGAACTTTTGACAGTCACCTCCGTATGGACACCCATAATACGCGACTCTTTGCGACCAGCACGCGACCCAGGGATACTGCCCGGGGGGCACTAGCAGGCCTAATTAGCGCAAGACATCCAAACGTCATCTTTAGTGCCGGCATGACAGCCGAAGAGGTATCTGTTACCGCCCCTGCCGAGTCAAATGTTCAAGTCCGCGCTCCCCGGAGCATTTGGGCGTCGCCGGTATCTGTCGTCACATGCAGATCCGGTAATAGTTTGATTGCACTTATCAAACCGGCCTCTGCTGTACTTATCTACTGTCCTGGACTTGCGTTGCTTCTTATCATCTGCTTGCCTCGGTCACTTGCTGATTCGTCTACCCGCGTGAACAACATAATGAGCGCGCCCAATCTTCTCACCATCCCCGTTGAGCTGCGCGAGCTCATATATGGGTTCCTCTTCAGCAGCTATACTATTCGACACGGTTTCAAACACCCACGCGCGCCCAGCACTGATGACGAGTCTCTGAACCGCACGTCTCTGCTGCTCACCTGTCGCCAAATCTCCATAGAGGCAAGCCGCCATCTTCCCCTCAACTGCACCATTCACTTCCGCGGCACGGAGAATCTACTTGAAACACTCCTCTCCATCGATCAAAGTGTGCTTACCCGCCTCCGCCACATTCGAGTCCGCGCCTATCCCTTTCCTTTGTACCCTGCGCAAACCACACAGTACTACCCAGCCTATTATGCGGCAAATGCGCTTACTTTGCTTCCTGGTTTGTGCCTTGACACGTTAGTTGTGGAAGACTGCTGGCATGGCTTTGGCATGGGCGATGGCTGGCGAGACGTCACCACTTACTTTGATATCGAAAGCCTCCTCAATAGCGACGCGTGGAGAGAACTCACTTACATAACTCCCTGCACCGACTTCATCGCCTCAGGCTACGACCATCGAAGCAAACGCTCAGCCCAGCCAGAGACGTGGGACGCGCTCATCAAGGAGCGTGATGGAGCCGAGTACGGCGCAGAAGTCAAAATGTTCATTGTTCCATACGACCAGACAACAGCGACGGGCAGTGCAAGGACGCCCGACGGGCGTATCATGCAGCCTTGGGCAGCCAAGCCAGGAAACGAGGTGATCCAGAACTGGCGCATCGCAGGGCCAGAGCAAGATTTAAAGGGCGAGGTGCGCATCATAGCGAAGCGCGGCGCGAGATCAAGAGCCGTACAGCTAGGGCTCAGTGAAAAGAGGACCTGGAAGGAGCTCAAAGGCAAAGCCAGTGGCAGCTTCGCCCCTGAAGGTGAGCAGATTTGGGGCGCCTGCAAGTACGCAAGCCATGACTAACATGTCTTCAGGATGGACCCCGTATCACAACGACATGGCCGATGCAGTTGGGTGGATATATGGCGGCTATGGACGAAGGATGCAATTAGCGGACGCCGCTCTGTCCAGCTGACTACATGACTTCACTACGCAGCCTGTCTACGCGCCATGGATGTCGAGTACTTGAACTCAAGGTTGAGTACGGGAGGCTGTCTGGCTGTGAACCCATGTACTCACTTAGCCTATTTATGTTCCGTACCGGGGTACCAGAATTCTCCTTGGTCGTACGGGTCGCCCGCATGCAGAGTGGCGCAGTAGTTGGAAGGCGGCGTAGGTGTCTTGCGCACTGTGCCGCAATCGTGTTATTGAGATTGCAGGTTTCAATTGGGCTATTGCTGAAGTCGCTTACCTTGCAGGAACGGCGCTGCATTATTGTCCTTGTGCAACATCGTGTATTATGACCCGGAAGTGGCTAGCTTGGAAGTCCTTCAGTGTTGCCCGGACATGTACAAGGTACGTAGAGCGGCGTAGACATCGGCCAGCGCCCACCGTGCGTTGTCAAACAGATCGCACAAGCAATGGGGCTCAGTTACATGCGTCTAGCTCATGCTGCAGCTACTTTGCGGTGCATTAGGGGCTTCCATTTCAAAAATATGGCTGTCCATCGCTTGACGGTGGTGAAAGGAGCTACAGCACAAGTACAAGTAGGCACGATAGACCAGCAACGCTTATCACCTTCGTCTCCTCTCTTCAACATCACCCGGCAGTGCGGATGCGCGCATACGTCTGACGGTCTTGCGCAGCCTTCCAGGCCTCTTATCCTTATTCCATGCGATAGCCTGCCGCTGGAAAGCAGGTTCCCGACAACATGGTAAGGCTGTCCAATTATGCGAGCGAGTAGGCGCGCAGGCTAAGTAGTACCAGTTCCGACTACCACACATAACCCTAGCACTCCCTGTTCTTCATGCCGGGATTTCGTTTGCCCAGCAGTATCCGCTCCCCGTAACCTACGATGCCGTTATCAAATCGCCCGTGGACCCCAGCATCACCATTTCCTACAGACATCCTGACGTCGGTACATGTGCTACGTCCTCTGACCGGCAGAAGCAGTATACGGGCTACATCAATCTTCCTCCGTCCTCACTAGCACCGGCTCAGCAAGACTACCCCATCAACACGCTTTTCTGGTTCGTCGAGGCACAGAATAGCCCAGAGACTGCGCCACTGACAATATGGCTGAACGGCGGACCGGGACAGTCTAGCATGGTTGGTCTCTTTACTGAAGTGGGACCATGCGAGGTCGTTCAGGGGCCCAATAGCAGCTATGTTACACAGCCCAGGCCTTGGAGTTGGGACCGCAGTTCAAACATGCTCTTCATCGACCAGCCAACTCAGACTGGCTTCTCCTACGACACGCGCGTGAATGCGTCGGTGGACTTTAACTCAGATGACCCTACTGCTTTGGAAAACCGCAAGCCGCCTTCACCCCTTCCGGATGGTGTACCAGCGTGGCGTTTTAAAAACGGCACCTTTGCCTCTGGACAGACGACGAACACGGAGCATTTGACTGCCATTGCCGCAAAGTCAGCCTGGCATTTCCTCCAAGGCTTCCTCTCTACTTTTCCCCAGTACAACCCCGGGAAGCGCCCCGGCCGCGATACAGTCGAGTCTGCTGCCATCCATCTCTTTGCCGAGAGTTACGGCGGCATGTACGGTCCTATTTTTGCCAATTTTTTCGAAGAGCAGAATGAGCGACGAAAGGCCGGAACGATATCGAGCAGTGCATTGGAAATCCATCTTGGCTCTGTGGGTGTTGTAGATGGCATCTTGGATATTGTCGTCACAATCACGTCTGCTCTCGACTTTGCCCACAACAATACCTATGGCATTGAAGGCATCGACTTTGCCGTACACCAGAGTGCTATAGCCGCCATCAATGCAGAAAACGGTTGCAGGGATCTCACAGAACAATGCCGTGTTCTTGCCGCTAAGAATGATCCTGACAATCTCGGTAACGATGAAAATACCAACAACCTTTGTGCAGCTGCACTGTATGCTTGCCAAATAGGTGCTGGTCCTGCCCTTGGTATCTTTCGCAGCGCCTTCGATTGGCGAGTGGAGCCTCAAGTTGGGCCAAGCGCTGCCTACGTCGAATATCTCAACGAGGCCAACGTCCTCCAGTCCATCGGCGCTCCAGTCAATTTCACCTCGGACACCAGTGCGCCCCTGACTGCCATGTATTCTAGTAAGCGTATCCTGCTGAGAGATTCCCGTAAAGTTGTCGTTTTTGCTGACTTGTGCTGTAGTTGGAGATGCTGCCCGTGGAACTCAACTGGCGTCTTTGGCGCGCCTGCTCGATCGCGGGATCAAGGTAGCCCTGATGTATGGAGATGCTGATCTCATAGGAAACTGGTATGGGGGCCAGAACGGCTCACTTGAGCTTGCTCGCCTTGTCCCGGGATACGATACCGCCTTCCCAGCAGCCGGCTATGCCGAGATCATGGTCAACGAGTCTTATGTCGGCGGGGCCGTTCGTCAACACGGCAACCTATCCTTCTCACGAATCTACGACGCAGGCCACCAGGTCCCTCAGTACCAACCGGAAACCGCATTTACCGTGTTCAACCGCGTTATCCATGGCAAAGACATCAGCACAGGCCGCAATGTCGACTTATCATCGTTTAGCACAAAAGGACCCAAAACGTCTGATCATATGAATGTCGTGCCACCCCAACCAGAGACATTCTGTTGGATCCGCCAGTCTTCGACCTGTACCGACGAGCAAAATGCTGCTATCCGCAAGGGACAGGGCACTGTTCAGGCAGGCATATGGACGCCCACAAACGACAATACCAAACCAGGCGTCGTCGCCCTTCCAGCAATGCAGGAGACATCAGGAAGTCCCTCGCTCCAGCCAAACCTCCTCTTCCGCCTCCTGCGCCACGCCGTCCCTGAAACAACGGAAGACGACGGGGACGACAATAGAATCCGGAACGGATTGATCGGGGGACTTTGTGCGGCTGTTGCTTTGCTGCTGTGAGTAATACTGCAGCAAGATCCCTGAACACTCTAGATTTATGATGTTACTTTATGCTATATTTTCTTCCTCCAAACCCCAACATACACACATACATACATACATGCATACATAGTTTGCACACTCTCGATACCAAAACCCCACACAACTCCATCCGTGCCATCCCAACTAAACCAAAAATAACACACAGCAGTCTCCTCACCACACTCATCTGCAGACGCTACTTCCGCTTTCGCCCCGACAACAACCCACACACCAAGCGCTCGACCAGCCCTGCCCTCCCCTCGGAAGAACAAGAAAAACTCCACCTCCAACAACTCCAACAAGACCCAGAAAAAAACCCCAGAATACTAACGCACCTCCTCCACGCACACGCCCACGCCCACACGCACCTTCTCCGCCATCCCCCAACGCCCCTCGAACCCATCCCCGAAGCAAGTCCCCGGCCGAGCTCCGATGCGCGACTTGGTGTTGCGGCGCCGAGGAGGGCGGTGGTGCGTAGGGTGAAGAAGTGTGGTGGTGTTGTACCTGGGTTGCTGGTGAAAGGGGGGAAAGATGCGGGTGCGGATGTAGGTGAGGGGAGTGGGAATGGGAATGTAGGGGTTAGTGGCAATGGAGATAGGGATGGTGATGGAGGTACTGGAAATGCTAATGCTAATGCTAATGCTAATGCGGAAATGGGAGTATAAAATCCCGGAAACACGGGGGAAACCGGCTTGTAACTAAGTTGAACTGAACTGAATTGAACTAAACGGAAAGACCCCGTGCAAGACACAACTTGCAGCGTGCATCTACATCACAGGAGGACGCTGTGGCGCTAGTACTGGTACTGGCGCGTGTGTGTAGTTGCGTGAGTAAGTAAGACGGTACATGCATACATACATCCAGCTCGGTGGAAGTCTCTACTTCCATGCAAAGTGATGAAGAGTGCATAGCAGAATGGCGACTTTTTGTATCCAGCAATTAGTGTAATCAATTAATCAATTATTCAATTATTCAAGTATCCCAGTAATACTGGAGCATAAAGTAAACTAAACTAAAAGCAAGGACTGTGCTGTGCTATGCTGTGCCGTGAAACTCATCATCATCCTCATCATCATCATCATCACCGTCTTTTTCTTCTACGAATCTATGTACTTACCCCGCATCACAATACATATATACTCAACAGACACTTTATACTCTCATCCGCGCACGCACGCACGCACGCATGTATATATACATACATATACCTTTCGTTTCCCTACAGTTCAAGTATCTCGATACAAACAGAGTCCTTGTATCTCTGTTTTTTATCGCGTTTCCGCATTCTCGGCTTCATTTCTATTTCCAATTTTCACATCTACAGTTCGCTTGTATCTACGTGCGCCGAGTATAGTTACCAGACAGACCAATAAAATGAAGTGAAGTGAAGTGAAGTGAAGTGAAGTGAAGTGAGCTGTATTGGTAAAAGAGGTGTTGTTATCATCTTTATCATCGTCATCGTCGTTGTCGTTGCTTTTATTGTTATTGTTGTAGGTGTAATCTCGACATTCCACACTAATCACAACAGCATTTCCATACATATTCCGTATAAAAACCCTTGCATGCGTCCGACATAATTCAACACCATGCCATAACACAGCCTGGACAAACGTATACAACCTACTAATACGCAGACAGGCATGTAAATAATCAGCACATGTACATGAACGCCCCATATGGGCTGCCTTCTCTATCCCTGTCCCCTGTTTTTTTTTCATAAAGGTATTTAATCCGAGATAGTGAAAAACCGAGATAGTGGAAGAGGGTAAAAAAAAAGTGTATATCTTACTAATCCCCCCTTTTCTCCTCCCACTTCCATCCCGCTCCCGCTCCCGCTCCCGTCCCTGCCAAAAAGGAATTTAAGAAGAAATAAACAGAACACCGCCGCAATGCAGAGTCAATCGTATAATACTCAATTTTTTGGGGGGGGCGGGGGGGGGGGGAGGGGCAAGCACGTTAAGATGGATAAGGAAAAACCCGGTAATGGATAAAACGGTTTAAAAAAAGAGAAGGCATTAAACCAAGAGAAAATCGTGGTATAGAGAGGTATATCAAGTGTTGTCCGGGCCGCCGAGGAGAGCAAAAAAATCAACTTTGATTGCCCAAGAAAAGAGAGAGAGAAGAAGAAGTAAGCCAAACGACGAAGGAGCAAACTCAAGTTGCCAATCGCAAAACGGTTCAATGGCTCAAATCTCAATATCAACGCCAATGTCCATGCTGGCAATAATGTCATCATCCATCTTTGGTTTCCTAAACGTCGGCAGGCCTTTTCGCTCCGTTTTCTTCTTGGACTGCTGGGGGTTGGGTGTTGTTGCCCTTGAACTGCCTTCGCCGTCGAAAAGAGCGTCAACATCCAAGGCCTTCTTCCTCTGCTCCTCTTCTTCTCGTGCCTTCTTGGCTTCTTCCTCTGCTTTCCGCCTGGCTGCCTCCTTCTTCTGCTCAACCTTCTTTTGCCTCTGCTGCTCGAGTTGGGCTTTGCGGACGCGCTCAGCTTCTAATATGCGGTTCTTGCGGTTGAGTTCAGCCACACGCAGAGCAGCCGCATCCGATTGTGTAGCAATCTTGGGTTGCGAATCAGACGTCGAGCGCTGGAGAAGGTGGGCGTATTTCTTTGACTTTGCGATACGTGCGCTAATGTCGGCGTCGGTCCAGTAGTGGTTCTGGAGCCCCTTGAGGTCATCGTATTTCCGTTGAAGGAAAGACTGTGTTGGCACTTTGGCGTTTGTCTCTGCAAGCGATTGACGGTAGATGTCGAGATCTTGCTCGGTAAACCGCTGGTTCGACATGAATTGGAATTGGTAGTCCTTCTTCACAGACCCGTGTTGCGCAACGACGTATTGATCAGTCGCAACTCGTTTGCCATCTTTGCCTTCGAAAACGTAGGGTTTGCCTACTGAGAAGCCTGAAAAAGTCAGCCATGTTCAAACGCTCTCGTCGATTTGCCTACCCTTGATTTGAGCCATCTTGTACAGAGTGCGCCGCTGTGCATCTTGACCGACGCCCACACGCCCAAAGGCGCCTGTCAAGGCCTCTTCAAAACCTGGGTGGAAGCAGACTTCTGAGAAGAAGCCTCTGCCAACGCGCACTGATTCAAAGTCGCGAAGTGTTGCGGGAACCTCCTCACGAGCCTTGTCTGGTACTCTGTCGTCCCACTCAACATCGCTCTCACCATCAGCGTCGAGATCTGAGCGAGCGTCCCGATCAGCGGAACTGGACCGCCTGCGGCCACCACGCCGGTCGTCGTTTCGCTGTCTTTGCTGGCCGCGCTGCTCTCGTTCGCGCTTGTATGCCTCGAGCTTCTCATTCTTACGGGGCTGGACCTTTGGGCGGCTGCTTTTGCGCATGGCATCGTCAGGATCCTCTGAGTCGGCTTTTCGCTTTCGGTCATTTTGCACATTGGCAGCGCGCCTTGCGAGCTCCGCCTTGAAGTTGGCGTTGCTCATCTCTTCGGCGCGTTGTCCCAGGATCTCCTCACGCTCCAGCTGCGACATGGCCATGATCTGCCGCTTATCCGCCTCGTCAATGTATTTGCCCTCCAAGGGATAGGGCACGTCGGCCGCATGTGCTGGTTCGTCGTCATCGCGATCCGAGTCGGACTCGTCCATGGCATCCGACCCCAGCGAATTTGGCGACGAGGCGGCAGGCGATGAACTGGGTCGAGTCAGCGCCGTGTCGCGGCAAGGGGTTCAGGTGGTCGGTGGAGGGAGCGGAGCATCAGAGGCGAGGGAAGCGATGGAAAAGGGTGGTGAGAGGAGAGTACTCACGCCTCGCCTTCTTCTACGTCTGCATCTTCGTCACCGCCGGCGAGGGCGAAGAGCTCATCGTCGATATCATCGGCCGACATTGCGCATGTGGCTGGAAAAAGTTTGGCGGTGGTTTTCAGGCTTGTCCGGGCGACAATGGCGGGGATAACGGGGGCCGCTGGGGATGTCGTGAGGAGATTTGGGCGCGCTTAAGGGGGAGAGAAGAGGAAGGAAAGGAACGTGGGAAGCCCAAAGGCCAGGGAAACGCTCGCAGCGCTCGGGCCATGCCGCGTCCTCCAAGTGGGTCGTTTTAGCGTGCAGTGAGCGCATCATTCCCCATCGATTCATTGTCGCATTGATTCCTCTTTTGAACAATTGCGTCTTTCCTTCACTTTGCTTTTTCGTACAATAGACTGCAACTACACAATATGTCCTGCGCACGTTTATTTCCACGGACAATACCACGCGGCGTCTCCCGCAGCCGGCAATCTCCCGTTCTCGATTTCCTGGCCCCAGGTATCACCACATGCGCACCACGCCAAACCGCCTGGCGGTTCTCCAGCACAACCACAACCCCACCGCCGCCACAAACACAACACAATGGAAAGCCTGTACGGCCGCTTACGCCCGAGCAGCGCGAATTTCTCTTGTCGGCATTGCGGGTAAACCAGACGGGCGAACTCGCCGCCATCCTCATCTATGCCGCCCAATCGCCCGTCATTACGCGGTCGCATCCCCATTTGCGACCGCTGATGAAGCACATGTACGACCAGGAGGCGGGCCACTACAAGTACTTCAACGACGTCATCTCCAAGCACCGCATACGCCCTACGGCCATGACTCCCATCTGGACGGCGGCGGCGAGCATTTTGGGGTGGTCGACGGCCGTCATGGGGCGCGAGGCGGCCATGGCGTGCACAGAGGCGGTCGAGACGGAGATTGGGACGCACTACAACGAGCAAGTGCGGGTGCTGCTGGACTGGGCCAAGAAATGTGAGCAGAGGGGGGAAAGCCTGGGGCCCGAGTTGGAGAAGCTGGTGACCGAGTTGAGACGGATACGCGACGAGGAGCTGGAGCACCTGGACCATGCCGTGGAGAATGATGCCAAGAGCGCAAGGCCGTATGAACTTCTCACAGAGGTCATACGTGGTGGGTGTAGAGGCGCCATCTGGGTGAGTGAGCGTGTGTGATGTAGTTCTTGTAGAATGTAGCATATGTACATAACGTGACATGATATGACGGGTGATGTAGATTGGTCTAATGATGGTGCAAGTGCATTCGCGTTCAGACTATGTATGACTTTTGTTGTAGTTTTAGTATATCAGACCCTCTCGTATCCACGATGACTACAACATCTCCGCATCTTATTTTATTTCTCATGAGTATCAAGGACGCAGATTACTATGCTTTAGTCTCTTTTGTGCAGTAAGACAGTATACATAGCAGTCAAACCGATAGTGACCCAATCCCAAATCCATCTTCATGTAAATTTTACTTGGACAGCTGCTTAGCAATTGCCGCGGCCGTAGCATTATGAATAGGGAAAGTAGGATGCAAGTTGTTAAGCCACAGGTACTCATTGACGGGGTATGCGCAGCTAGGATCCTTTGTATACCAATTCGGTGTTCCACTGTGTTCTCTGTTAGTCCCTTGTCGCAGTGTAACGACATGTTCGATATACTCACTTCTGATATGCGTTGCAGTAACCAGTGACATTTTTGAGGTCCTTGGTCTGCTCATAGCTCTTGGGATTCTGGATAACGCTATTGTACAGGCCCCAAGAGTCATGGATGAATGCAGTGATGCCCGTGTGCTCTGCCTGGAACGCAGATACCATGTTAGTGATTCGCTGGTTCCAGTCGAGAATGGCCTTGCCCTCGTACTCCTTTGCGTAGCCATTGTCGTTTTGCTCGAGCGTCAGGGGCGCGAGGTTGACGGGGGGAACGCTGAGAAAGAGGAAGTTGCGGGCTCCGGTGGCGTAGACGTCCTGGAGTTGCTTCTTGTACACGGAGAAGATGGTGTCCCAGAGCGTGGCGTTGTTCAGCCACCAGCTGTTGCCGACATCGTTAATGCCGATGAAGAAGGCGAAGAGCGACGAGTCCGAGGTCCAGGGAGCGAAACTGGGATGGGAACCGTAGGTGGGGAGGAATTGCGTCTGTACTTGGTTCTTCATGCTGATGACTGTGGGAGTATACGGGGTGACGAGGTCCGAGTCGACGGTAGCACCGCCATAGGCCATGTTGTATACCAGCACTTTGCTAGCATTGTAGGTTGTGGCGAGGAAACCGACCCAGTTGGGACCGTTTGAAGTTGTCCATCCAGGGTAGGGCGGATTGCCAAGGACATTTGAGGGGTTGGGCTGGGTGCCTTTTACATCAAAACCCGTCTGGGTATACGAGTCGCCAAAGACGAAGAGGTGCTTGACGTTGTTCCATCCTGGCCAAGACGCCCGGGCTTTGGGCGCAGCGAAGCCGGTGCTTGCCAAGGCCAAGGCGAGGATAGTCGATTTTACCATCTTCTTAGCTACGGACAAGGAGCGGAGCAGAACAGGATGAGAGGAGCAACTGCATGCTCAAAATCGGCGAAGACGACATGTTAAGTAGGGCGCGTATAGGCTCCACGGACTGGCATGGTGCGGGCTGCGGGAACAGACGACATACGCTAGCGCGATGAAGATAGATTGGATGCAAATTGACGGTTCCTGGCAGTGCCCGAATAGCCCACAAATTGGAGGCGGAGAGGATATTGCACTGCATCGCGACGGACAAATTGTCGAGGGATAGGCGTGGAGCACTGCAAGATTGGGCGGGGAACGGCAGGACGTCACATGACATGACATGACATGACCCTGGCTGTATACCACATGCACATGCACATGTTGCACGCCGGGGACGGGACAGGTTCCAGATGACGCAACAGAAGGGACGGACGAATTGCTCGTGTCGAATACGGCAAGTCGGGCTTGCCCGAGTTTATTGCACGCGGGCCGTTGAGGTCCACTTATTGCGCAGGCGTGGCCATGGCAGCACGAGGGAGAGGCGGGTAAGCGGGAGCGGTCGCTGGAGGTCAAGGCCAGGCTGGGGAGGTGGATGCTGATGCTGATGCCGAGATTCTGGCTGACCAAGCAGGGCACGGGGCGGCTTCATGCTGTCCGTCCTGGCTGTCAGCGGCCAGCGTGTGCATGTGGATAGCGGTGCATGTGGATAGCGGTGCATGTATAGCGGTGCATGTATAGCTGGATAGCGGTGCATGTGTATGGCGGGCAATGGCGGTGGCTGAAGGGTGGCTGAAGGGTGGCGTAAGGCTGAATCAAAGGGCGGCTGGACCAACGCATACCCCGGCTCGCTGGTGATGCCAATGCTTCCCAGCCGCCGCGTGCCAGGCACATTGTGTAATGGCGGTAGCGTCGACGCATGTCATTCGAATAGCCTGCATCTATCCTGCTTGACTGGCTACTGACCTGCCTCACCCTCACCAAGGGCGCCCCAGCACTGCCGCCAGCCGTCTCCACCAAGACGACGCCCGGCTCAAGGTGTCGCAGCTGCCACAACTCGGCCCTGGAACCATCGGATTCCGACTGTCCTTCCTCCCTCCCTCCCTCCCTCCACCAGCTTGTCGCCGGCCAGCAGCCCTGACCAGCCGCCTCGCTCAACAACGCCCGCCCAGTCCTGCGTCCCTCGGGGCGTCCGACATGCCCGCTCACTAACACTCTCGACTTACTCGGACGCCTTGCATTCGCTTGCCTGCCGAGCATTTATAGGAGCGCTGCCAACTGGCGCCCGCCCCCCCGCGTACCTACCACTACCACTACCACCACCACTACTACCCACAGCTTGCCTCCCGACGTGGATACGCAGCACGGCGCCCCCGATACACGCGCCGACATAGCACCCCGCCGCAACCATGGCTGGCATGGAGAACATCGAGGTCCATAGCAAAGTATGTCGCCCGTGCCGCGCCCCCGTCGCAGTTGCTGATTGATGCTACCAGTCGTACCTCGTCAGATGGGTCAATGTTTCGTCGGGCCACACAATCTCATGGAGCGTCCAGCCACACAAAAAGTCCATCAACTTTGGCATATTCAAGCACCCCGGAAACGCGACCGGCTCGGCTCCACATCTGCCCTCGTCGTCGACTTTCGAAGCGGGGCCAGGTACCCCTACCCTCGAACCCCCCGTCACGCGCGGGCGCGGAGCCTCGACGTCACGCAATGACCGCACCGTCGTCCTCGAGAAGCTGTCGGCCATTGGCCTCAAGCAGGTACACTGGCACGGGAAATGCGAGGCCGACCTGGTCACCATGGGCACCTACGACATTCCGGCAGGCGAGGGCGGCATGTATGGCCTCGTCTTTGACAACACCTTCTCCAAGACCGTCTCCAAGACGGCCACATTTGTCCTCATGACGTACCCCACCAATGCCGCCCCAAAGTCTGGCCACCACATGCACTATGCACAGGCAATGGCGGGAGCAAGCACTACCAGCCTCAATAAGTCAAGTCCGTCCATGGGCCCTGCCGAGTCGTCAGAGTCCTTGCCGCAAGCCCCTGGAGAGCGCCCGAGATCGCAGTATGCCCAGAAGCCAGGTAGTCTTTCTGGCTCGTCATTCCTCACTGGAATCCTGCACAAGAAGAAGAGAAAGCGGAACCAGGGCTATGCGAGGAGGTTCTTTTCCTTGGACTTCACAACTTCAACACTATCATACTACCGCAACGACCACTCCTCGGCCCTGCGCGGCGCAATCCCACTGTCGCTCGCTGCCGTGGGCGCAAACGAAGAAACAAGGGAGATTTCGGTGGATTCGGGGGCTGAGATCTGGCAGCTGCGCGCTAACAACGAAAAGGATTTTCACATGTGGAAAGAAGCGCTTGACCGCGCCTCGAGGACAGCCGCCGACAGGGGGGCCGTGACCTCGCCAACGCTGCAGATTCAGGAGAGCGCCTTTCAAAGCCTTCCGCGCGCCATCAACGCCGCCGAAGAAAACGAATGGGCTCGGGTCGAGGCGCTAGTAGGCAGAGTATCAGGTACGCGAGATGCGGTGCGGAGATTGGCCCAGGAAACCGATCCCAAGTATGGTACACCAGCTGCATTGGTCACCACCAAGTCGAATGAGGCTGTATCGCCCACGCCATCCGAAACAGAGTCCGGCGACTACTTTCCCGAACAAAAGGCACCTGCCAAGGGTTCTTTCTGGAAGCGCAAGCCAAGCTCTGCTACTCAGAGCCCTGCAGGTTCAATCAAGAAGAACGTCGCAGGAAACGGCACACTTGCAGTTCCCAACCCGAATGGGCGCCCCAACAGCGTAAGCTACACGGGCCGCTCACCAGAAGAAGCCCTGCATGAAAACTGCATGGCCCTGCTCAAAGACCTTGATTCGGTTGTCCAGGACTTTTCCACTCTCATCAGCGAAAGCAAACAACGCCGGGCGCTGATACAGCCACCACTCTCTGCTGTGCAGTCACGCAACAGTTTTGAATCCATCGCTGAATCCGTCGACGAGTTCTTCGATGCTCCCGATGGCGATCCGAGCAAGTCGCAGCTGCTGACTATCCGGCGCGACAGCGGGGACGAAGAGCGTGAGCGTGAGCACCCTCCCAACGACGACTCGGATGGCGAGTCGGAATCGTCTTCGGAAAATGGAAGCGATACCAGGAGAGATCGTACGCGCATGTCACTGGAAATGACTCCAGCACTGTTCCCTACAAAGCCCACGTCTCTTACCCCTCTACCACTCAGCCCTGTTGAGCGCCGGATGACTGTCACTGCGCCCAAGGTTCAACCTCCGAGTCTGATTGCCTTCTTCAGAAAAAATGTTGGCAAGGACCTGTCAACTATTGCCATGCCCGTATCTGCCAACGAACCCACATCGGCACTGCAACGACTAGCGGAGCAGCTGGAATACAGCGAACTGTTAGACGCCGCTGTGACGGTACCAGCAGAAACGGGCGAGCGACTGGTCCATATTGCCGCTTTCGCAATCTCGGCCTTCAGTAATACCCGTGTTAAAGATCGCGCAATCCGCAAGCCCTTCAATCCTATGCTCGGCGAGACATACGAACTCGTCCGCGAAGACAAGGGCTTCCGTTTCTTTGCTGAAAAGGTCGTCCACCGCCCCGTCCGCATGGCCTGTCAAGCCGAGGCGCAAGAGTGGACATTTATGCAATCCCCTACGCCAATGCAGAAGTTCTGGGGCAAGAGCGCCGAAATCAACACAGATGGTCGTGTTCGCATCTTCTTGCATGCTTCGGGTGAACACTACTCCTGGACCCTAGCAACGTCCTACCTACGTAACGTCATTGCAGGAGAAAAGTATCTCGAGCCCTCTGGCACCATGACCATCATGTCCGAAACTTCGGGCGCAAAAGCCGTATGTACTTTTAAAGCTGGCGGCATGTTCGCCGGTCGCTCAGAAGAAGTTTCTGTCGAAACCTTTGACAGCACAGGCTCCATCCTCCCTAGTGGCGCAACGGGCAAATGGACCACTGATCTGCAACTTACCACCAACGGCCAACCAGCGGGCAAGACCATCTGGAAAGTAGGCAGCCTCGTCGACAAAGCGGAGAAACACTACGGTCTCACGACTTTTGCGGCGGCCCTCAACCAAGTCACTGCCATTGAAAAAGGCCGCATTGCACCCACGGATTCCCGCCTCCGACCCGATCAGCGCGCGCTCGAAGACGGCGACGTAGACAAAGCCGAGGCACTCAAAGCGCAGCTCGAAGAGCACCAGCGTTCGCGCAGAAAGGTTCTCGAGGAACGCGGCGAAGAGTGGAAGCCCCGCTGGTTCACAAAAGTCGGATCTGTCGAGGCGGCCGCGCTGGGCGATGAAGAAGTATGGAGGCTCAAGGGAGGCAAAGACGGATACTGGGAGTGTAGGGAACGCGGCGAGTGGACCGATGTTACCGATGTTTTTGAGACTTGAAACTAGAGCAACGTTTGATAGACGAAAGACTGGTTTGAGGGGTAGACAGGAGGAATGAAGAGATGGAAAAGAGCATTTAAGAGCAGACATTTCGACCCATATACACATTTAACATACGACTATTTATTTTGAAACTCGTCGTTTCATATTTAGTTTTGATTTTCCTTCCCATATGCTTTGTTAGCGTGACATGCATGCAGAGTTTATTTGGAGTTTATTTGTTTGACCCAATAGCAGAAACAGAATAGCCTCGAGAGGTCGCTAAACCATGTTAGTCTGGAGCTGGCTTGGCACGTAACGTGATACTTATGGACATGGTTTGATATCATTAACATCAATTGAGCACATGTCATTACCAGAACTACACTTTTGATTGAAAAGAAAAATCAGCAACGATCATACAACATAACTACCAATGAGAGTTACTACGAATACAATTCAAGCTGAACACACTGATAGAAACATAGATGACTAGCCAAGGAAAGAGATGGATAGAGATTGAAAATGTTGTATGTAAAATTGTAAAAGAGAGTAAGAAAGTAAACGCATGCAGGCGTTAGATAGGTAAGTAAGTAAGTAAGTAAAAAAGGTAAGACTAATAAACAACAAGGATAGAAAAGAACGATGATGATGAAGATGATGAACAAAGGAAAGAAAAAGGACAAAAAGATCGCACGCCAGTAATGGCGAGTAGGGGGGGGGGGGGACGATGCTAAAACTATCCCTAATCATGACGTTGCTGAACAAAGCATCGAGTCATTATCCCATTACTTACACCGCTTAGATATCAGCATCACAGCCTCGACTCCCTCTCTCCATCCCCTCTTTCTCTCTACCCTCTACCCTCTACCCCACCCACGCAACACTCACCGCAACTGGATCCTCACACCATTGCCATTGCCATTGCCATTGCCATGCGGCGCAGGACTCATGGCGCGCCGGGGACTCAGGACCTGCTGCAACTGACCGGTAACCAGGTCGTCGCTTCCAAACGTCCAGTCGTCAACGCCCTTGAAGCCGCCTTCAGCGGCCTCGGCCTTGCCGGCGCCAAACGGCTTCGCATCCCATTTCTCGGTGCCCTCGACGCCGCTCCAGGTGGGGTCTGTGCCGAAGACGCGGAACAGAAGCGCGTTGAGGCGGTCGTATTCTGCGTAGGGCTTTGGCCAGCCGCCGTGGCGCTGGTACGCCAGTTTGAGGAGGCGCAGGTGCTTGAGCGCCGTGGCGGCGCGGTCCAGTGTCGCCGAGTCGATGGCCGTGGGGCTCGGGGCGTTGGCTTGCGTTTTCACGTTTATGCCTTCGCGGGCGAGGAGTTCGGCTGTGGTGTCCATTTCGTCGTCGTCATCGTCGTCGTCGTCGTCGTGCGTGTGAGAGGACGAGGATTTATTGACGAGCACACGCAGAATGTCTTCGTGGACTAGCACTGCTTTCTTGAAGTAGTCTTGTGCAATGCTGGCTGTCTTCTCGCCCTTGGCGGCTTGCGCTTGGTAGTGCTGGCCCGTAGAGGTGTACAGCTGGGCGAGCAGCTCGTACGTCTCGATGGTGACGGGGGCGCGGGGCCCGTGGGCGCGCCGCATGTTGTAGGCGATGTCTTCGGCGAGGCGGATGGCTTTGACGGGGTGCCCGGCGAGGTAGCGGGCGCAGATGAGGCGGCGACCGAGGTTGAGTAGGACTTCTGCGGGCCAGGAGCGCTGGGCGTCGCGCGTCTGCCAGAGCGTCGTGAGCAGCCATTCCAGCGTCTCGTAGTCTGCTTGTTCGCCGAGCAGCGCCGACAGCTGGCTCAGCTCGTACAGCTGGATGTGCGCAAAGTTGATCTTGAGGCTCTTGCAGATGTCCAGGATCTTCTTGACAATGCGGTTGGACAGCTCCAGCATCTTCTTGCGCAGCGCCGCGTCGCCGCACTTCTCGGTTGTGTCGCGGCCCACAAGCAGCGACGCCAGCTTGAAGCCCATGCCGATGGCGCGCGGCCCATTGTACCCATGGTGCTTGCTGGCGAAGAGGAAGCCCAGAGTCGCAATGTCGTAGGCCTCGCGGAACTTCTTGGCCTTGGTAAGCTGGCTGACGCTCTGGTTGCTCGAGAGAATGACGGAGCGCACAAAGTCCTTGTTGCGCCCGCTGCCGAGGTAGTCCAGAATGCCCATGATGAAAAGCCGCGGAGACTCGTTGCTAAAGTCCTTGAGGTCCTGCGCGTCGCGCTTGACAAACAGATCGACGGCCTGGTCTTCCACCACGGAAATCATCTCCTTGCTGTCGTTGCGCCGCAGGAAGTAGCGCAGTGGCGCCGCCGCAAGCAGGATGTTGGTCAGGCTCTCGTTGTTCTGCAGCGTCTGGTGGAACTGCACCCAGTAGATGTATTCCATGGTGAGGTCGGCGTAGATTTCAGAAAACGTGATGCTCAGGTCCCGGCGGAGGTGGTATTTGAGCGACGCCAGGAACGCGAGGGAAGTACGGCCGGACTTTGTCAGGTCAAAGGACCACTTGGCTGCGTGTCGGGTGTCTTTTGCACAGATCTGGCGGTGCAGTTCCTGTGCCATGCTGAGCGCCGTGCTGGTCTGCTCGATGGCCTGGAACGTCTGCGCGATTGCAGCGGCAGACTCGATTTGCTTCTGCGACGACGTCTCCTTGGCTACGATCTCGGAAACCGCCTTGGAGATTTGCTTGACGGCCACATCGGTCTTTTGCTGGCGCGAGTACAGAGTGGCGAGCTCCTTGAGGCTCGTGAGCGAAGACTCGTGGCTGTATCCGTAGGCATGCGTTGCCTCGTGGAAGTGGGATTCGCTCATCTTGAGGGCGCGCGAGATGGTCTCCGTCTTCATGGTGCTGGAGGACGACGAGTGCATCTGCTTGTGGTAGAGAGACGAGAGCGTGTTGTTGATTTCCGTAACGGTGGTGGTAGTGGTTACTTGCTTGCCGGACTGGGACACAGCCTCGTAGAGAGCAATGGCTTCGGAGATGTGCTGCTCGCTGCTCTGCGTAACCTGTGCAAGCGAGAGCGTTGCATTCACCGCGATGGAAGACTCTGCGCCAAACGCCGTAGTCGACGTCTCGCGGTACTCCTTGGTCACCTTGTACAGATCCGACCAGCTGGCCTTGGTCTCCTCCAGACACTGGTAGTAGCGCTCGTACAGCGTCTCGACGAACTTGACGTCGGAAAAGACCTGGTGCTCCTTGGTCTGTCGAACAAACGTGTTCCACAGCACGCGGTAGAAGGTCACGGCCTCGGCATACCGCCGGTCTTCCCAGTACGTCACCGTCACGACCTGGAGCGCATCCAGCGCGTTCTTGTGGCACAGATCAGAGTCCTTGTTCAGCGCCACCAGAATCTGCAGGTAGTAGTCCAGCCAGTATCCGTGGTTGCGTGGGTGTGCGCGGCATCGCTGGGCGAGAATATACAGCGTCTGAATCGTCAGTTCGTGCGTATGTCCCATGCGCGCGCGATACACAACCAGGATTTCCTGGAAGATGCTAATGGCCTTGTCGGCGTAGCCGTGCTTGTCGTAGAAGCTGATCAGGAGGTTCTTGGCCTTCTCAAACACGGCCTTGTCCACCTTCTCCGTCACGAGCACAGCGCGGAAAAACCGGTTGTACACATCGTCCACCTTGTCCAGCTGCCGCATTTGCAGGTAGCACTCTGCAAGGCGCTCGACCAGCTCGACGGATTCTTGCGTGAAAGACGTTGCCATGGTGACGTCGTGGATGGATGTCGCGAGGAACGAGGACCATGTACGCTGCAGAGTCGCGTGGATGACGTTGATGGCGGCCGTGTAATCCTTCTTCGCCATGTACTGAGCCGTGAGCTTCTTAGCGACAGCAACAGTGCTAGACTCGAGCGTCTTGGAGCTCGAGATGGCTGTGAAGAAGACGTCCTGGACTACCGATTCCGAGATTGTCGTCGTCGTCTGCGTGACCGAACTGGAGCTCGACAGCGATTGCTGCACGAGTTCGCTCGACGTCTCGGAAAGCTGCCGGGTGACCTCCTGCGAAGCATACAAGTCCTCGCGGCTCACGTTCTGGTAGTAAGAGCTGGCAAACTTGAAGATGGAGAGAGCCTGCGCATGCGCGTTCATCGTCTTCATCTCCTTGGCCACGTGTGTGAGGCGCGAGACGATGCTCTCGGAGAACGACAGCTGGTGGGATTCATACTGCTGCCAGACGGAGCACAGGATAGCCGTGGACTCGCTGGTTCGCTTCTGATTTCTCAGAAACTGAGAGTACGCGGTGGCAATCTCAATGTTCTTCTCGTGCCACTCCAGCGCCATGACGGTGCGGCACTTGGACGAAATCTCCATCCACAGTTCGGCGTACATCATCTCGGCCTTGGTGAACTCCTTGCGGTGCAGATGCTGCTGGATCAAGCTTAGCTGAGCTTCAACCGATGAGATGGTCATGGCCATGGCATATTCTTCTTCGATTTCGTCGCTGCCGAGAATGGCACCGTGAATGTTGATGTCATCATAGCGTGGAACGTGTTTGAGATGGACACCTCCATGCTCCCAGTGGCCGCCGGAAGCCTGGGGGACAGACCCGTGAAGCTCAATCAAACGCGTGATTTTCAGTGCGTTCTCCTTCTCGCTGATTGATTCGTAAAGCTGGCGAAGAAGCTGCCGCGTCTTGATGACCAACTCAGAGGAGCTACCATACTGAGTCTCGTAGGACGTGATGAGCACCATCAAGATCTGCTCCCGGTGCGTCATGATCTCCGTTCTCGAGGAAGACGTCAGCGTCTCGGTGATGCTCAAGAACTGAGTAGCACATTCCACGGTCAGTGGGTGGATGGGCGACAGAGTCTCTTTGCTGATGATGGTGCAAATGTAGAGATACTTGGCAGCTTCCGTGATGTTGGACACGATCATATAGCTCGTGGCAATGGCAAGGTAGGTCTGAAGCACAGCAGGGTGGTTCTTGGTGAACAGTGTTTCGCGGACCTTGCACACAACCCTCTGGAGTTCGAGGACCTGGGGAATTGGCAACTGGAGGTTCCAGCAGCTCGACTCGAGAATCGAGAGCATGGTGGTTTCAGGGAAGACCTTCTTCAGCTCGGGCGTCGGCTTGAACTCGCCAGATGGTTTGGGCGCCAAAGGAGACTGCTGCAGATGCAGGACCCAGTATCTCACAGCATACTCGAGGAAGCGGTGCTGCTTGAACAGGTTGTCTGGCGTGGACGGGTCAGAAATCTCAAAAGTCGGCTCGCTTCTGCGGTCCTTGAGCACAGACTTTGTGTAAGCCAGGACTCGGAGAAGGAGATCTGTCTCGCTGTTCTGCAGGGGAATGGAGACCTTGCCCGTTTCCGCGAGATCATGCAGAGTGGAGTGGATGACAGGGTGCTTGAATCGCACGATGCGCTGGTGCAAAGTGAACAGCGGCTCCAAAGCTTTGAAAATAGTATTGGTGTTGACGCCCTTGTCTGCAACAGTGCCGCGCTCGATATCGATGGAGAACAGAGTCTGAATCTCGTCGATTGTGAGAGGGCGCTCAGCAGCCAAGACCCACGACAGCAAAGTCTTTGCATCGTTGCTGGGGTTCAGCTGCTTGATGAGGCTGACAATGAGGTCTGAGATGGTTGGCTTCGAGGCTTCGAGACCTTCCAATGTCTTGTTGATGGCATCGGGAGACTTTTGTCCATTCAGCAGCTCACAGATCAAGCTGAGCTGTAGGAATGACCCATTGGCTGCCGTAATGATTCGATCAAGCACCTGCTCCTGGTCAAAGGAACGCTGACTGTGGAAGTGATGGTTGTGAATAAGGGCCCGCATGGCGACAGCGTGGAGGTCATCCCGAACGTCGTCGCGCGTGATTTCATGTTGAATTCCCATAGACGGAGAAGACAGCTTGACTGAAGAAGACATGGTAATCAGTCTCACGCCACGACCCTGCTTCGTGACCTTGGCCAGCTTCTCCAGCAAACCGGTCGAGCTGAAACCACCCAGTGCTTGGACAGATGCGCTCTTCGAGTCAGCAATCTCGTCCAGGCCATCCACGACCACAACGAGCTCGTTGGTGCCAGGAAGAGGATTCTGAAGCGCCTCTGTGAGCGCCTGCCAAAGGCACTCTTCGTAGGCCTTGGTATCTTCGTAGTTTCGGCACTGGTTGTAGGCGCGGAAGAGCGCCCAGTACATGTTCATGTTGCCGATGCGCAGGTTCAACAGCTGGAACAACAGCGATTTTACCACTGCCAACGAAGTTGCAGCAGTGGGAATGTCGGGTGAGAGGGAGCAGAAGATGGTATCATACTGCTTGCGGTTCATGGGCCGTTGCAAACGCTCCACGATAGACCCAGCAAGTGTGGTCTTGCCGGCACCAGACTGGCCAGTGACCAAGAAGATGCGGTTTTCGCTTTGGAAGAACTTTGTCAGATGCTTGTTGAACCAAAGGCAGGTGAATTCCTGAGCAAACAAAGTCAGTGCACATTCAACACAACACGGTGTTTAGACTTACAGCTTGGTTGTCCACATATGTCTCGTGATCTCTTGTGATGGCAGCAATCACTCGATCTTGAGAAGCGAGCCATCGGCTCAGATGCTGAACGTCAATGGCCTCTCCTTCTTCGAAAACTTCGTTCTCGATCTGTGATTGCCAAATCAATTCAATCACTGTGTTTTGGCGAGTACGGAAGGACTCGATGGTATCGCCAAACTGCTCAAAGATGTCGAGACTTGTAGAGCCAGATGACATTCCTAGATGGTTTAGCATGCATTCTAAGGAGATGAAGGTAAACACGTACCTTTAGCGGCATAATGGAAGTGGATGCCCACATCGACGACGAGGCTGATGAGATCTGCGTAGAGGAGGCAGATTTGCTCGCGGATTTCTGGGCTCGCAGCCAGCAACTCTGAGCGGTGCAAGACCGAGTGGAATGACATTGCAAACTTGTAGAAGATTGAAAATGCCTTATCCAGGGCTTCAGAGTTGTGGTGACTCAGCTCAAGAAGCAGCTGTGCGTGGCCGTAACCGACAATGGCTGCCGAGCTACTGTTGTGAGCGAATGGCTGGATGGCCTGCTCAAACTTGTGCAGCTGCTCTGCGAAATACAGAGCACGGATCAGGACCCTATCCCACCGACTGCCCTTGTGAGGCAGTGTGGTGAGACGCTCTGATCTGATCCATTCAAGAAACGAGACATAGGTAACATCGCGGATGTTCTCATGTGCCACGCCCAGCGCTTTCTTGCTGCGGTCAGCCAACGCGGCGGCTGACTCCTGGACAAAGAGGTTTTGGTAGTTGCCAGCACCGTTGGCAAGCTTCTTGGGAGACCGGATGGTGCTGTAGTTCCCGCTAGTCGCACGAGAAGAGGCGAAAGAAGGCAGTCGTCCCTTGGAGCGGTAAAGGGCTCCGGGAGAGTCGGGCGGGGAGAGAATGCTCGCCCCGTTGGTCCCGTTCATCCTTCCGGACGTAGAAATTCGGACAGGCATGATGCTAGGCCGAGAAACTGGTGGTGTGCTGAAAGAGACGGAGGACTGGGCCTTGAGATTAGACCTCACCGAAAACTGGCGAGGTGAAGCAATGGTTGGGCTGGCTGAAGACAGCACGGGGGAGGATTGCTTCGGGGGTGGAGAGCCTGAAGCAGAGTTTGGTGCAGAATTAACCTCAACAGACAGGGCTGGACCAACTGTTAGAGGCTGTGTAGCAGGCAAGGTAGTTCTCGAAACTGGTTCTGGCCTTTTCAGCGACTGATCCGAGAGTCGAGACTGGAGTGTAGGTACAGCTGATGTGGAGTAGCTGATTTCTGGGGCAGACGGTAGTCCCTTTGCTATTGGGGGACTTGAAGGAGAGAATTGTCTGGTAGGCTGTGAAGACGAGGCAGAGCTGGACTCGACAGAGGAGATAGATGGGCGTCGTCTATCTGTATCCTGAGTGTCGTCGGCTGATAGAGAGGATAGAGAGGAGCGCTTCTTCCTGTGTTTTTCTAGGAAGATGGCATTAGTATGGAGGGTTGAATGGACAGCAAGGAGTAGCTCTTACTGAATAGGTGCAGCATGTGGATGAAACCGACGAATGCCCAACTCATGGCAACGGATCGTCTTTTAAATTATGATGCTTTTCAAGGCTAGTATCCTTCGGGATCGAAGTTTACTCACCAAAAGCGGGGCGCGTATGCTTGCATGGCACTCATCATGGGGCTACCATGCCAGCCAGCCTCAGTTCCTCGGAGCAGTCCAAAAGTGATGCTCCTGGTACACACACCAGCTAGTTCAGCTAGACCAGGGTGAAGATATGCAGGAGCAGCAAATGAAGTCTGGGCTGCTACGGGCGGTCGGCGATCATGCACCAATGCTGAATCGAGAAGCACAAGGCCCTCTCTCGGTGACATGAGTGACGGTATTGACGCGCACGCATGGTCCATCACACCCACTCGTGATATGCGTGGGGTGCGGCGCATGTTCCATTGGAAGCTGAACCGGGCAGAGCGACTAGGCATGCGAGACGGTGGGGAACGGTGTGGAGAGCGCCATTGCCGTGAGGTATGGCCATGGCTTAGGCGTGGCCCCTCGACCGTGAGCAAAAGAAACATGGCCAAGAGTATTGATGAGGGTGTGTTGACCCTTGCCCAACACATTGCCCTGACCCATTGCAGTCCAACATGTGGAAGCCATGTTGTCCAAAGCAATACATGCAGGAGAGGCAGTCAAGGCGCCAGCAGGTATGTAGACGGCGCTTCGAGGCCTGCCGTCTGCTGGCGCCGAGTTGGATCTGCATTGCACATGTATGAGTGTGCATTAGGCTGGGTCGGATCAAGATGCAGTGGAGAGGGTATCCAGGCGTAGATGGATCAGTGACTTGCATCCGTGATCTATCTGGTGCACAAAGATAAAACCAGGCGTCCGGCACATGGTTGCAATTACATGGCTTTCACGCCCTGTGGGGTCCCAGCTCCGATGCCTTGCCAGCCCTGAACAGAAGACTCCAATGAGCCGAAGCGTTTCCGTCGTCGTCGTCTACTATGTCGAAATGGGAGAGAAGCGGCCGGTGTGTCGTGGGTACGGGCCCGGCCATCACCCACCCACCTACAGATCTCGGAGGCTGCGATGACGAAGTGGGAGTCGACCAGGCGGGAGGGGATGGCCGAGTCAGAGGTGCAATAAACCGTGATAGCGTGGATGAGGCGTCGTCCATGTGCGGGTAGAGGGAGCGGTCCTCCCGACACGAGCCAGCCACGACTTGGTTGGATCAGCAGCCCGCATGAATGAGCGTCTGGCCGAGTCAAGCAATGATGCGGCCCTAGCATTGGATTCCGTCACGCATCTTCTGCGCATCGAGCTGGCCCAGCATCGGAGAGACCGACAGCAGCACCTGTCCAAGCGACGGCCATGGGAGTAGGTGTGTGTAGCACCTCTGGCACAAGAGGCGCCGTGATCAGCTCTCCACCGAGCATCAGCTTTGTTTTCACCCTTGTTTTTTTTCATCTCTTCCCGCCGTGCCGCTGTTCCTTCTGGAAAGCTAGGGATGCTTTTTCCCAATCCTTCACGGTACCTTATGCACAAGCCCTGGGACCATTGGCTACTGATGCTCGTCTTTCACCCTTCCCCCCCCCCCTCGTTGACTTGGTCTTGACTGCTTTCCCGCAGCGTTTCCCCAAACTACACTAATCACTATCCAGGCGCATCCCGTTGAGGACACGCCTCCCTGCAAAATGCCTCATTGGGAGCCTCAAGCAGCGCCACCGGCTGTTCTCGGATCTGCAGGCTGCGATTATGGCACCCTCAAGTGCTTCGGCTAGGGTACGCACATCACAGCCTGCATGTCCAGCACTAAGTATTACCCCAGGCGTCTGCCAGATCTGTGGGAGTTATTTGGAACACAGGGCGTGGCGTCTGACCTGTGCATGGACCCTAGACGTACACGCTGCGCATACGTACTTTTGAAAGCTCGGACAGGGCCAAAAAAGAATGTCAGGATTCGCATTGCCAGTCCTCGGATATTACCTTGGGCTCAGACTGTTTCAGTGTCCCGCGTGCCGCCCCTCGACCCGGCAGTGGCGCTTGGTAGTACGGCGAAGTTTGTTGAAGCGAATGCGATAGGAGCAGGGAGTGAAGATCGGAGAGCGATAGATTTTATCTCCGCCCATAGACTGACTTGGTGACGACGCGAGCAAGCGACCAATAGTTGCGGCAAAGCAAAACAGCTAATAGACATTTAAAGTTTCCATGACATATGCGCCGCGTCAACATGGCCCTCCACGGTCGTCATGCATGCTAGCGACCGCCCGGCTTTCAGAGGGTGGGCGCAGAGAGATTGCTTTTTCTGGGCGATATACAGCTACATCCACATCAACATAGTGTGCAGACGATCAAAAGAGGACCCCGTTCGCTGGGGGGGGGGGGGGGGCGTGTAATCTATCATCCCGGCTGCCAATCGCCCATTCCGAGAGCACAGCAGAGCCCAAGTGCAAGGGTGCTGGAGGTGCTGGAGGTGCGGCCTCTGCCATGTAGGTGTACCAACACTAATTGCACCCGCGTACTCGGATATCCCGTCGCGATAGTGTGTGCCAAACGGATACGATTGGCGTATACGCATATTCCAGCATTCACCGTAATCGGCCTAAGTGCACCCCGTCGGGCGCATGGCGGGAAACTCTAGCCGACGGGGGCTTGCCAGACAGCAGCTGAAAGAAACCCACCCCCCCCCCCCCAGTCGCGGCGCCAATGAA